TACTTCCATTGGAAACTAGACTTCCGGGGCTTAATTTTAGGCTCAAGAATCACTCAAAACGGAGTCCGGATGAAAAAGATATACCTATTCAAAGTGGGCTGGACAGAGTTGTCTCCGCACGTGCGGGTGAACAGTGCCGCACGTGCGGCCCTGGACAGCAGTAGTCCGAAAATGGCTGAAATTGTGGGACTTCTCATTTTCAAAAATCAAACCTTAATTACATGTAAATCAAAGCCCAAAACCCTTTAATACATGACTAATTTCACATTATTATTCTTCATCAAACACCATAATCTCACAATAAACAAATTTAATGATTTTACTTCTTCAATCAAGGAATTCTTAGAAAATCAAGGTTCATGGGTTCAAAGCTCACATCTTCTATATCAATCCATGATTTCAAGTAGTAGATGGATTCTATACAAGGTTAGTAATTAGAGCCACATACCTTACCCAAACCTTTGTTCATCCCTTAGTCTCTTCAATTTTTCCCAAGCTTTTGGTTGATCTTTCCTCTCTCTTCTATCTTCTTCAACCATCTTCAAGCTTCCATGGATGTTGAATTCCTTAGGGAGAAGCTTTGCCTCTTCTCTCTCTCCCTCTCTCTCTCTCACGGTTCTCCTTCCCCTTTCTCTAGATATTTTTATTTTTTGTTTGGTTCCAAATAGATGAGTTTAACAACTCATAAGGCATATATGCATATATAAAAGCTTCCCACAAATAGGAAGGGCCAAACACGCCCTTACGAATCGCACAAAATCACATTTCAATTAAACTTCCCAGATAACTCTAAAAATTATGCTGATCATAAATATGTCCCCTGTTCCGGTATCTGAAGTCTTTAAGGCCTTTAATTTGCAGTATAAAGTTAATCACCCAAACGTTCATTAACGAATCAGACAAATTAAATTTCAAATTAATTTTCCCAAATAATTCCAAAAATTCCCATTAACATATCCAAGTACTCAATTTTGATTTTTTTGAACCCATAAAGGTTGGTAATTCCCATTTTAAGTCCGTAACTCAACTGATAATGCTTCACTTCTAATAGATATAATTAAATTAAACCACATCATTTCATAGGGAAATAAAGATGATTTCTTATACGCATTTTGGGGTCATTACAGGTGGCCCAAGGGTCGAGAACTTACACTCCCTTGAGTTCATGACATGATAGGGAGGGGTAGTTGTGCACACATATCTTGCAAATACATTGTCATGCCCTTTCTTGCTCTTTGTTGTAGCAAAGTGCAGTTCAGCAGCAACAGTTAGCTGGCCAGCCAGAAAAACTAGCTGGCCGACCACTTTTCTAGTTTTTCAACAACCAAAAGTGGTCGACAGGTGTCTAGAGAGACCAAAAGTGGTCGGCCACCCTCCTACAAGACTCCCAAGGTGAACTTTCAGCTTTCTGGAGCTTGATGCAAGTTTCTGAGGACAAATGAAAATAGAGGCATATCGGGGCATCGCATTGGATTTCCGAACGAGGCAACCGAGCATGCATCTAATCTTTTCCCTCCGAGAACCTCCTGTTTTACTGCTTTCCTTAGCTCCCATGCTTAGATAGCTAGTTTATGCTTTGGTTTGTACTCTTAATAGTTAATGCGTTAGCTATTCAATCTGTTTTGTAATAATTAGTTAACTAGGATTAGTTAATTAATTTGTGTTGTAATAATTAGTTTAATTAGCTTAGATTAGCTATTTAGCTTCTTATTCGGTCTCTCCCTCAAGAGAGCCAAGTGTTGTAATAAGCGTGTCTGCATGTGATGCATGTCTTCCAATCCCCCCCCTCCTCATTTCTTTCTCCTTTTTACTTAACCGCTTACGATGGTTAGTTTAGGGCATATTTCATTTAGCATAACTTATGCTCACATACGTGCATCCATTCATCTGTATTGCATGCACCGGGCTCGGCGCATCATACTAGCTGCGTTGTATTTCAATACATTTATTTGAATACATGTATCACGTTGCATTTCACATGACATGACTAGAATAGCCGAGCCTATCTTAGCTGCATTCTTGCATGTGTTGCATTAGTCATCTTAACATGAACTTGGATCGTGCGTGATTTGTAACTAGTTCTTTGTTTTGGCTCGGAGTACACTATGAGTGTTTACGCCTTAGCATACTGCATGTGTGTTAATGTTGCCATGTTAGCATGCTTGCCATGAGGCTAACTGCTTATATGATTAACTGCCTGAATGCCTGTGGGTGAAGGTTGGATTACTTGAATTGGAACAGTTCATTGAAATCCGCATTTTAGCCTACTTGCGAGTAGCAAACTTCAAACCATTTTTCAAACAAACGGATATGCGATGCTTCGTTCCAAATTAGGCGATCTAGTCTATACTTGTTTGTTGTGTGCATCACATAGTAAGACTAGCTAATTAATCGAAATAAGAACACATGTGTTTTCAAAAACAAGATATCATATTTAGTACAGGCCGATCTTTGATCGGGCGAGCGGGGGTGCTCATTAAATGACCTTCCCCAATCGTACCCAAGTTCCCGAGTCGAGGCAACTTTACTGATGACGGACACGTGGCCTTAGGCACGAGTCAGGGTTTCCTAAATTTTTCCAAAATCAAATATTTAGGTGGCGACTCTGTATCTGGCAAAGCAGTCCATGTTTGGCACTTCTTTATTAAAAATCAGTTTTCCAAAATGATTTGCCGGATTTGGACTCTTTGGTGATTTATCAGTCTCACATCGCACATTGTGAGATTAGATTCAGAACCGTGACATTTGAGTCCAAACTGTGGTAAGCCCAAATGAACGAAACGGGATCTTCCCGGGACGTTCAGGGCGCGTCCACAGTTTCTGGCGACTTTGCTGGGGAGTTTAGAGAACTTGACACGAACTCATGATATCTTGTTTTGTTTACACTTATGTGTCTCTTTGCATTGCATTTGCATGGGTACGCCTAGGACACCGTGTTTGCCGTATGCTATTCCTGAACGGTTTGCCGGAGGCTCACTTTGAGAAGTGTGCCATAAGGCTGACCGGTTGCGGGCTCTGCCACGACGGGAACACAAACCTCGGTTTCTACTGAGGCACCCTTTTTGACCATTCGACCTAGTGCATATCGGAATCCATAGTGACTATTCCAAACTAGGACAGGTTGCTTACCCGATTGTAGGTTGTTTTGAAACCGCTGTGTGCGTAGTGAAACCTTAGCTCCTGACAAAATAGGACAGGGAAACCCTACCCCAACATTGGGGTGTTTTGTCTCTCACATGCTTGCTATTTTTCGTCAAAGTGTGTCTCCACAAGATTGCGTGTATCAGTTTGCAAGTCTAGGTATCAAGCCTGCAGGCATCATCATTTGGAGAATCAGTTTTTCCTGAGGGTATCAGATTCAGTTTTGGGGCAGCAATTTGGGGCACAGTGATCAGAGTTAAGGACAGCGTGTTCAGCTTACAAATACCGACTGTGTGTTGTTAGGTCAACTGTGTGTTGTCTTTAATTTATTCAGCTCATAACATAGCACACTGCGTGTTTCGGTTGTTTATTTTCTTATTATGCTTTATTTATCTTTTTGCAAGGTAGCTTAGCACAATTGCATCCGACCAGGTAGATATTCCCCGAGCACCCTGGGTTAGAGGTCGAAGACTCAATCGATTCAGGGATCTGATAGATGGACAAACAGTGTTTCTTTCTTTACCCTCGGTTACTAGGCGGAGGTCAAAAAGGCGTAGTGTATCAGTATAGAGGTCGCTAGATCAGTGGTCCTTGAATAGTCAGGCTAAGGTCTCAGATTCTATTGCAGAAGCAGATATACTGGTCATTCAGTTAGATCAGCATAATATGGCAGGTTTGGAAGAGATGATGCGTCATCTCTAGGAAAGTATGAAAACCATGTAGCAGGATGCTGCCCGTCAAACAGAATTTGCTACACGCCAGGCCGAGGTTATGGCGCAACAAGCAGAGGTAATTACCAGGCTACAGCAGCAGACTGGAGCATCTGCTTCCCACCAAGCTCCTCCTCCACCCGGAGTTCCAATACTCGGGGAGACAGCTAATGTCCAGGAAGATACGGACGTTCCAATGGGGCCAGCTCCGCCCCCAATCCTACCCCAGCTATCCAAAACACCCACTAACGTAGTGGATTCACCGTTTGAGTTCGAGGTGGATCCAACGGCGCTAAAAGTGAGCAAGCTTGAAAAGCTTTTCAAAAGTCTTAAGGCATGAAATCCATTCTGAATATTGAGGATGGATACACCGACTCAGCCGTGACTCTGCCGAACCGATTTAAAATGCCACATATTGACCGCTTTGATGGGTCTAGGGATCCTATGGTACACCTACGGCTATTTTCAGACATCTTAAGGCCGATGGGCCTCTCCAGATTACAGAAGCTTTCTCTGTTTGGCTGGACCTTGTCGGGTGTAGCGGCTATTTGGTATGCAAAATTAGAGGACTCCGTTAAGAGGAATTTGGAGGAGATGGCTAAGGCCTTCATAGCTCAATACTCCTATAACATGCAGATTAAGGTCACAACTCGTGATCTCGAGACAACCAGGCAAGAACCAAAGGAGAGCTTCTCCGACTTCGTAACCCGTTGGAGGGCCAAAGCCTCGATGATGACCATCAGGCCTATGGACAAAGACCAGATACGGATGGTTGTGCGCAACCTCCAGCCCAAGCTCATGCAGAAGATAATCATCCTCTCCCTACCCACCTTTGCAGATCTACATGAGATTGGGGTGCAAATAGAGGACGCCATTAAACAAGGCCTCATTGATAATAAGAGAGAGCAGTCCAAGAGGGCATTCAACCACAGTACAAATGCAGGCACAAGCAGTGCTGTAGCTGGCAGAACTTTAGAAGTCGGAATGGTCACCACCACCACTTCAAAAACCCTCACAGCTATCCCATTCACTAGTTCGTCCGGTAGTAGCTCAAAACCAGCTAGATATGCACCCAGAGGCCAAAGAACCTTCACCACACTATACATGCCCTTATCCAAAGCTTTGGGGGTTTTGATCAAGAAAGGGCACTTGAAGCCCTTAAAGCCGCAGCCCTTGCCAGAAAAACTTTCTCCCTCCCATAACCCAGCTAAGTACTGTGCCTATCACCAACAGCATGGTCACGACACCGACCAGTGTTTTAGACTGCGTCACGATATCCAAGATCTCGTTGACAATAAGATGATCGCACCGCCAAAAAAACCGAACGTCACAACCAACCCACTCCCACCACATAACCAGGCTCCACCTCCCAAACGTATTAACCTAGGTTGCGTCATACGACCCCAACATATATATCACCCCTTCTCACCTACCCAAGCTGGAGGTGTTCAATCCAGAAAGCACAGATTTGTGCATGCTAGACATCTTTCAAACCCAACCTGAGCCCGTGGTGGCGAATATCGAAGATAGAATTGAGATGATTGCGGGAACAGATGGAAATGATTATTCAGGGCCTGGGGGGTCTGTGAGATATGTGTACGACCCGAGCGGTTACATCACACCAACAGGTCAGCCTAAGCCAAAGGTGGACTTCCCAGTAGGGACAGAGATCAGTGTCGTACAGGAGGATGGACCTAATCAAGGGCTAAACGACCTTGCAGAACTAGAGAAGGACATTACAAATCTGCAATTCTTCGAAGAACAGGATACAAGGGACGTGACT